TTTTGCACATAGTAAGAAATTAGTTTAGGGATGTGACAGTTTGGGGGTTTTCTCTAGGATCTATGACCTCTTCAGTCACGTGTATTTGGCTGTGTTTACAGTACCACACATGAGTTTCTTCCCATGGAGTGGGCTTTTAGTCCAATTAGGTAGCTGTTGATTGCCCTCAAAATAAAAGTGTCACTACTGCACCAATGTTGTATGTTGTGCAGATCATTGATGTGGTTATTTGGTCTTGAAGCTGATGTTGGACCATCAATTTATGTTCTCCCTTAGCACCTTGCATAGGGCTTTCCAAAGCTATGAGAGCTAGCCTTCCGGGGAATAAGACAAGGGAAGGAAATTAAAGGAGTACTAATTGTAAAAGAAGAGATCAAATTACCCCTTTTTGCAGATGATGCCAAAAATTCCACCAGAAAACTCCTAGAAATGATTAGCACTTTCAGTAAAATGGCAGATTATAGAATTTTTTGTAGAATTTCTACAAAAATTAGTAGGCTTTCTATATACCAATAACAAACATAGAAATTATTAACACATTCAGTAAAGTGGTAGGTTACAGAATTAATCTACAGAAGTCTGTAGCCTTTCTAAATACCAATAATAAGCAATCAGAGAAATAGCACATGGAAACACTCTCCTTCACAATAGCTGCAAAAAATAAAATATCTCAGAATAAACCTGCCCAAAGACATTAGAGAGCTCTACAATGAAATTTTAACTCTTTAAAGAAAGAGATTGAGGAAGACATCAGAAGATGGAAGGACCTCCCATGCTCATGGTTTAGAATAATTATATTGTGAAAATGACCATTCCTACCAAAAGTCCTTTATAATTTCAATGGAATGTCAATTAAAATCCCCATGACATTCTTTACAGAATTAGAAAAAAAAAAAATCCTAAAATTCATGTGGAAGCACAAAAGACCCTGGATAGTCAATGCAACCCTGAGCACAAAGAGCAACGCTGGGAGGATTACTATACCAGATTTCAATCTGCATTACAGAGCTATATTCATGAAAACAACATGGTACTGGCACAAAAATAGACCCGTAGATCCATGGAACATAATTGAAGACCCAAACATGACTACATGCAATTTCAGCCACCGGATATTTGACAAAGGTGCCAAGAACACTCAATGGTGGAAAGACAGCATTGTCAGCAAATGGTGCTGGCAAAACTGGATCTCCACCTGTAGAAGAATGAAATTAGACCCTTATCTTTCACCTTGTACAAAAGTCAACTCCAAATGGATCAAAGGCCTCAATGTGAAATCTGAAACTCTGAAACTGTTAGAAGAAAACATTGGCAGTCACCTACAAGATATAGGTGTAGGAAAGGACTTTATGAATTGGATATCAATTGCTCAGGAATTAAGGTCAAGAATCAGCAAGTGGGACCTCATTAAACTAAAAAGCTTCTGGATATCAAAAGAAACAACCAAGGAAGTGAAGAGAAAACTGGCAGAGTGGAAGAAAATATTCACCAGTGACACATCTGACAGTTCCAGAATATATAAAGAGCTCAAAAATCAAAGAATCAAGAAAGCAAGTGACCCAATTAAAAGGTGGGCTAAGGATCTAAACAAACAGAGACTTCTCAAAAGGAGAAATAAAGATGTCTAAGAAGCATCTTAAGAAGTGTTCAACGTCCTTAGTAATTAGGGAAATGCAAATTAAAAACACTTTAAGGTTTCATCTTACCCCAATCTGACTGGCTAAGATCAAGAGAACAAATGATACCAAATGATAGAGGAAGGGGAATGCTCATTCCCTGCTGGTGGGATTGCAAACTTGTAAAACCCCTATGGAAAGCAGTGTGTAGAACTCTTAAAAATCTAAAAATGAACCTACCACTTGACCCAGTTATACCACTCCTTGGTGTTTTCTTATTTAAAAAAAAATACTTTATTATTTTTATTTTATGTATGTGTTTGCCTGCATGTATGTATGTAAGTGCACCATGTGTGTACAATGCCTGCAGAGGTCAGAGGAGGGTGCCAGATCCCCTGAAACTGGAGTTATGGATGGTTGTTAGCCATCACGTGGGTGCTGGGAATTGAACATGGGTCCTCTGGAAGAATATCAAGTGTTCTTAACTGCTGAGTCATCTCTCCAGTCCCCATCCTGTGTTTTTGTACCTCCCCTAGGACCTGACCTGGATAACCTATCTATATATCTCTGTTGTTGAGCAAGATATGTTGACAAGGGCTAGTGAGGACTTTGTTCACTGGTGTGTCTCCCGGTTGAGTGGTGGGAGTCTCTGTGTACAGCTCTGCACACTGAGCCCCACTGTCATTCATGAGTAAATGGAACTCTCCAGTACCTACAGCTTGATGATAACAACCAGATGTATTTTTCCTTTCCTTTCCCCTTCCCCTCCCCTCTCCTCCTCCCCTTTCCCCTCCTCTCCTCTTTCCCCTCCTTCTCTTACTCTCCCCCCTCCCCTTCCTCCCTTTCCCCCTCTCTTCCTTCTTGCCCCCCCCACCTTCTTTCTTTTCTATTTTTATTTTTTGTTACAGAATTTCCCTGTAGCCCCAGCTGGCTTGGAACTTGTGGTGTAGACCAGGTTGGCCTCAATCTCACAGCTGTACCTGTGCTTCCTGAGTGTTGGGATTAAAGGCGGGCACTACCATGGCTAGCAGATTTATTTTTCTTAAGAAAAGTATTTTTATTTAGAGAATATGTATTGAAGCTAATCTTAGAAAACACAGAAAAGTGAAAAAGGGTTCTAGTCTCTCATGGTTTTCTCACAGAAGCTACAATGTGAGTGATGCGTTTACCAGAGCAGACTTGAGCACACAATGATCACTTTGTCCTGATCCAGAGATCCAGGTCCATAAAATGCCCTAAAGGGATGTTGTTCTGACTGTTCTTGCTTCCTGTGTGAGGACATCAGGCTTCAATGTAGCTGAGGCTGGCACATCTGTTCTTGGTGCTGAGGAGTAGGAGTTCCTTCAGATTATATACTCAGAGGGCCCTGGCATTCCTTTGAGTGTATATTTAAAATGAGGAGCTGGGGATTTCAAGGGCAATGTGGGAAGAGTATGGTTTTATGCAAATGTTGCTGTTGATGTGACTGTGTGATGGCCTGCATGTTGGTTGTAGTCACTGGTGGTTGGGTGTGGAGTGTTGCTGGGAAGTTTTCAAAGGACATGTTCCTATACAAGCTGGCTTGTCCTCTCTTGGATGGTGTGGTGATTGGGTGAGGACGGCCATGTGGTTTCTCCTGAGATTTTGTTGAGTGTCTCATAGCAGTTTGCATGACTCAGTTGTCCTCTGTACCTTGAGTGGCCTTGGGCCATGTACATAGATATGTCCCTGTGTGCCTGTGGAATATATGAGCTTCTGGCTGGTCTTCAATAAGAATGAGCCTGGTCAGGGGCGAAGATGCATGCTGAGTGTGCACGTGGGACTCTGAGGTTTCTACATGACCATGTGAATGTGCAGGTATATGGGGTCTGAGGTTATGGTCTGCATAGCATGGTGCCTCTTCCCTAGTTCATGCTGCCTGTGAGCTTAGTGGTGCCTTTTTTTGAAACAGCCCTCACCAGGGATGGCCCAGAAGTCTCTCCTGTGTGACTGAGCTCTGATTTGTGGAAGTAGCTGCCCACATGGTGCAGATATGAGACTGCAGTTGGCTTAGCAGGATCTGTGAGGGAACACTTCCTTCTGTGGGTCTGGGTTGAGGTGGCATCCAGAGCTAGCACTTCACTAATAAGGCCTTAGAGGCCATCAGTGGCCGAAGGATTTCCTCTGCCCTCTGCTCTGGGCCCTGGGCATTGCGACAGCCTCTTGGGGAGAAGTGCCTCCAAAGGCTCAGGGATCTGCCTTCATTTCTCTGTACTGATATTGAGAATGCTCTCAATGTGCCACTGAAAATCAGGGTGTGCACACACTTTTGTGTGAACCCCCCCCCACATCCATATACAAGTATTCCATGTCCAGATGCTCAGAAACCCCTTAGCGTGGGCACAGTGTGTTATCTTGGAGGAGCAAACAGAAGCAGCTGATGTCTAGGCCCTCAGTACGCAAACTAGGACAGTGGCACATGCCTGCAGAAAGATGTGTTCAGACACAGCTATGCCTTTTACTACACCCACCAACCTCAAACCTCCAGGGATCCAGGGACCATTGTTATGCATAGGTCAGCATTTATTGAACCTGTTTCTGTGCACAGGACTCAGTCACAAACACAGTGACTGTTGGTGATGAGGTTACCATCACTGTTAGGTGGGATGAGGATCCAATTCCAGATAGAGTAGGAGAGAAGGGCACTCTGTCGAGATCACATTGAAGCTAAGACTCGCTCAGGAACCAGTGTGTAAAGAAGGCCAGTGAGATCTGTGAAGGGTCAAGGCAGAGCAGGAGTGGTAAATGGAGGGGAAGAAGATGGGCGTGAGTAGGAGAGAGGTGGAGTCAGATTACAGCAGGATCAGCAAATTTCCTAGACCATATTTAGGGCTCTGTACAAGACAGTAGCCACCCCTACAAATAAATGGGTGCACTTGGCTGTGTTCCAGAGGAACTGTTAAAGATACAGGTGGACAGTGGGTGCTAACCCAAGTTGACAAAGGGAGAGAGGGATAGTTGGAGGCTGCAGAGCTACCCAGGCTATACCTGAAAGGTGGAATTTGGAGAGAGACTGATAGTGGGATTTATATCTTTGGGAAAAGCTTGGAGTACCCGGGAATAGTGTCAAAGTCAGGGCTGTCCTCTTAGAAGTTGCCCAGAGAGATGAGGACCAGAGACAGTGGTTGCTGATCATCTAGTCTGGTACCCAGTAGCCCTGGACTCCTTCATCTGAGAAACAAGATGGACTAGAATCCATTCAGGGGCCATGTGAGTAAGCAGCACAGCTGCCCAGGGTGATCAGGAAGGTGTTCTCAGAATGCCAGAGGGTGGGTGTGCATCTGTGGGGCATGTCTATAGGTGGGTTGATGCTTGTCCTAGTAGCTTACTGATCTCTGAGCCCTCAGCAAGACTCTTGTCCTACAGGGTCTCCTTTTGCTCGTGCCAGCCTCAAGAGCGGGAAGACAGAGAGCTCATCCTACTTCCGGAGGAAGGAGAAGATGTTCCGGTTCTTCATTCGGCGTATGGTGAAGGCTCAGAGCTTCTACTGGGTGGTGCTGTGTGTGGTGGCCCTGAACACGCTGTGTGTGGCCATGGTGCACTATAATCAGCCTCAGCGGCTTACCACTGCACTGTGTATGTACTCTAGCCCCTCACCCAGGGCCCTTCCCAACCTCTCAGCCCTGTAGCCTGGAAACCCTGGTACTGGATGCCATGGGTGAGATCCCATCTGCTACACAGCCCAGCCCTGAGCCTGGGCTGGATTCAGGACTTGAAGGGGAAAGGGTGAAGAAGCAGGAGAGGCTAAATGAACAGAAGTGGCACCTGCCGTTGGCCTGACTTGAGCTCCCAGGGCAGGGTAAAAGTCAGGGGCAGTGTGTGTCATGCAGAAATGGTTCCCTATCCTTTACTGATCTGACTAACTGTCCATCATCAGTGTAGCATGACAGGAGTTGAAGGGTCCCCAGGGGTGGAGCGTATAGAGTGATCAGGGGTAAACCAGCCTAACAGACCTGAATCCTCCCAGGTTTGGACTTTAGACCCATGGGCCAGTGACTTAACTCTATGCTTCTCTGCCCTGAGGCTGCTTCTGTCACCCAGGATGCCTGAAGAGACAGAGTTGGGCTTCTCTACTCTCCCAGAGCTCTCCTGATCGCTTGTATCACTTTACAGTTGACTAAATTTGGGGGGGGGGTATCCATGACCCCTCCAACCAGAGCCAACTTGTTATCTTATATCCCATGAGCCCCTCAACAGTCACTGGGATCTGAGTCATGCTCAGCTGGTCCTAGCTATAGTTCATAGAAGGCAGAGAGGAAGACCATAGGTGTTTGGGCTGCATGTCCAGCACCAGGACTGACCTTTTGAGGATGGTCCTCTGTGTCACATGGGGGCACAGCCTCATTCAGCAGCCCTACCTCACACCATTAAAAATCTACTGACTTTAATCCCAGCACTCAGGAGGCAGAGGCAGGCGGATCTCTGTGATTTTTTTTTGTGGATCTCTGTGAGTTCAAGGCTAGCCTGGTCTACATAGTGAGTTCCAGGACAGCTGGGGCTACAGGGAGACCCTGTCTCAAAAAGACTAAAAAAAAAAATCTGCTTATGTTCTGCAGTCAGCGTGTTGCTTTCCAGTTCTCAAAGGCTCAGTTGTATGTACTTTGCTTGATGTCACGGTGGGTGGGAGGGACTGCTCCTGTTTTAGGTTCCCTTTCTCTTGTAGGGCTGTGTGTGCCAGAAGCTGTCTAAGCATCCCTGCCTCCAGGAGAGCCCTATCTGATCCTAGAGAGAATCCATCCTGGCCTGTAGTCCTGACCCTTGGTATCTGAGTGTTCTTCCCTAATGGTGGCCTTTTTGTAGCCATACTCCTGTCCTGTGGATCACTGAGCTTGCTCATTCCCTGAAAACTCCCATTACTTGCAAAGTCTGACACCCCTGTAGTAGAAAAAGTCTCCAGTCTTGCTGTGTTGGGAGTAGGAGTCTATGCTACAACCTTCCAAACTTCTGTGTTGAAATTTGTCACTTGCCTTTTGGGAAAAGGATAAAGAAACAGCACAGGCTAAATGCATAATGGTGGCATCAGCAGTCAGCCTGACTTGAGCTCCCAGGGCAGGGCGGTGTCAAGGGCAGCGTAGGTCATGCAGCAGTGTGTCATAGCCTGTGGGGCCCATGACTTGGGGTTGCTGGTAGTTTGGCATCTCAGGATTTTGATTGAGTTTGAGTTCAGTGTCTTTGTTGGGTCACCAGGCTCATGTCTTTCCTACCATTGGGGTTGGGTGAAGACCAAGGGCTCTGATTCCTGTTCTCTCAGCTGCTTAGGCCAGTTCTTCCCCCATGGGCACCAGTGGTGCCCAGTCAGTCTTTCGGTTACTCTTGGATGTTTGCTCTCTGATGAAACCATGTGTATATGTTATGGAATGTGGTTTGCTTGCATGTCTGATACATGAAGACACAATCTAGAAGTGCCCCAATGCTGGGCCAGGTCTCAGACAGGTCTGACTGGAGATCTACTCTTTGGTGCTTTCCCTTTGTGTGGTTTCCTAGAATTCCTGGCTCTCTTTGCCTCACTGAGGGTAAATAGCTGAAGGAAGGAGATAGACATTTGCAGAGTCTGAATATTTTTGTTTGGTGTCCAAGGCTCTGTCCCTTATAGCGGGGCTTATCCTGTAGGGCAGAGCAGGCTTGCTAGGAGCTGAGGAACTATTGTGACCTGTGCAGACCAATTTACTTATTGGCACTTTGCCACCCTACAGATGGTAGACTCTGTATACCTGGCTGTCCATGCACTAACGACCCCCAAACACCCCCAGGACCTTTGAAACCAAGCTTGGGTAATGAAGGGGAAGCTGTTGGGTTTTGTTATCCTGTCAGTCCTTACTCATGAGACAGACATTATTCCCCTGTTCTCACAGCACATTGATCTCTTACTGTAAAACAATACCTTTTTCCCTTTTTTAAAAATTGTGTGTGTGTGTGTGTGTGTGTGTGTATGTGTGTATGCATGCACACATGCCAAAGTACATGTATGGAGGTCAGAGGACAACAGAGTTGATTTGCTCTTTCTGTGTGGGTCCTGGGAATTGAACTCAGGTTGCCAGGCTTGGTGACAAAGTGCCTTTACCCACTGAGCTATCTCTCCAGGCTCTTAAAAGCACGTTACTTGTCTTCCTCTGCTTCCTTTTAGCTTGTGAGTCCTGGGGAAAAGGATGAATGCTCTCTCATGCCAGATCCCAGAGATGTGCGTGCCTGTTCATTGAATAAATGATACAAGAATGAATGAAAGAATCCCCTTTGTGAAGGTTGTGTTAGGTTGTGGCCATCTTGACAGGATACAGGGAAATTTCTGACCCTTTCCTCTGTAGTCAAATGCTCTACCACTGAGCTATACCCCCTCTCTGACCCCTTCCTCTGAAAGTCTAACCTTTGGCAATTCTTGCCAAAGTCCTCTTACTTTGTTTTCCTGGAGGGCAAGTTCAGTGCCTAGACAGCTTTACTTGAGGCCCAGTGTGTGGATAGTAGGTATTCACATCTTTGTGGGAATCCTGATGGCATAGTAAAAGCCGTTGTGGGTATAGAGAGGCTTTGGGCTCAGGAGTCTTGGGTGCCTACATTCTGCTCTGTGTCCCTTTGGTCTGCTGAACTGTTCTCAGCAGGTTGGACAGTATGGCTATAGCTTTTCTGATGTATTTCACATCTGCTGATTAGCACATCTGGTCCAGGCACTGGTTACTTGGGCAGTGTCAGGCTTGCCTGGGGAGAATCCTGTCTCCTTAGCTTGCTTATGACTATCTTATGCTAGATATGGGTACCTTTTAGACAGAAGCCAGGGCTTGCTAGGCTGAGTTTCTCTTAGGCGGTAGAAATGGGCTCCCTCCTCTCTGTTTGCACAATGCTGTGGTGCCATCATCTCAACTGTTGCAAACCTTCCCCCAGCTGAGGCATTTGAATCCTTACAGTATAGCCCTTGGAGAGTGGTGGATGTAAGCAAATTTCAGCATACCTAGACACGAAGAGAGTCAGTCTTCTTTTATCTGTCTTTCCAGGAGATGTGTCTGTTTGAGGTCCCATGTCTCTGACAGAGGATCTTGGAAGGCTGGACTTCCTGATGATGGGACTCTCGAAAGCTTGTCCTTTCTTTGTCATGACCTTGTGTTCTATGTGGTTCTGCTCTGGGTTCTGAGTTACTACCCTGGTCAGAGGTAATAGCAACTGTTGGTGCCTTAAGGAGCTCATGCTGGATGGATGGTAGAGAACTTTCCATTTAGTGGTTGAGGCAAACACATGAGTAAAGTTAAAATCAAACATGGTGCTTTGGAGGTCCTGAGAAGGGGTGTTAGGAAGTTTTCATGGGAGATTCTGACCAGGAAGCTGAGGGATCCAGCTAAGACCAGAGCATTGGGCTGAAGTAGAAGTGCCAGCAGAGGCCTCTGAGGCATCCTGGAGCTGCTCACTCCTGAGCTGATTCTGTGGTGTTTCGTGGACACTGAGCTCTCATTACCATCCAGAATGGAACTGTCACCTTTCAATCCTTTATCCCTCTCCTGGGCTGTGGCCAGAGCAAGGGGGTGTACACCAACCTCAAAGGCCCAGAGATGTGTTATTCTGTGGTCTGGGCTAGACACCAGGTGAGAGAAACCCTGAGCTAACCCCTTTCTTTTCTGATTTCTCCTAGACTTTGCAGAGTTTGTTTTCCTGGGTCTCTTCCTCACAGAGATATCCCTGAAGATGTATGGCCTGGGGCCCAGAAGCTACTTTCAGTCTTCCTTCAACTGCTTTGACTTTGGGGTGAGATACCTTACTAGGGGTCCCTGTTGGGTGAGTCTGAGCTGTGTACAACCCCTTCCTATACATAGTCTCAGAATGGGCTGAGCTCTGTTATCCTGTGTGGGTCAGAAAGACTACTTAGAGACTGGGAGGTGGTGGGAGTTGTGGAGGGAGGCATGTCTTGGCTCTGTCTGGTGGCTAGAGTACCAGCCACTCCTTCCCTGCAGGATACACCCTTTTCTCCCTTGACTGTCTGTAGACTCACAGTCAACTTAAGACTCTGTAGCTCCTTCTGTACTTGAGACCTTGTTACCAAATAGCTCAATTTCCCCAGTAGAGCTTGGGGACTGTAGCCTTGTACCTCACCATCCTGCAGGTCTGGCCTGGCCACCTGTGCCTGTGATTCTGGGAAGGGCAGTATGCTATGCTAGTCTTGCCTTCTTTGGAGTATGTAGTTGACCTGGCCTGGTCCCTCCCTAACCTCTGTGGGTCAGGGAACCCTCATTGACAGCTGTTTGCTGTGGCTCACCATGAGAATAGAGAGCAGCTGTTTTACAGAATATTCTCAGGTTGACATTCTCTTGCACATCTGAGAATTTTCCACTGTTCAAAATATAAGCAGACAATGAAATAGTCCTCACAATAAAAAGAGATCACATTATTGATACACACAGCAACTTGGATAGATCTCAAAGGTATTATTCTGGATGAAAGAATGCAGTCTCCAAAGGTTGCATATTCTTATAATTCCATTCATAGAACATTTTCAAGAAGAAAAAAAAAATAGTGGTGAAAAACAGATTAGTGGTGGCCAGGGGTTAGTAGTGGGGGGCCCCGTGAGTATGAAGGGATAGCACAGGGGAGTTGGGGGGTCATAGAAGAGTTCTGTGGCCTGATTGTGGTACTGGTCTTGATGTTCTCATCTCAGAATAGTGGTCATACCACATGGTATCCAAGGCTTTCTCTAGGATTATGGACACCTAGGGGTCTGATTGATGACTGGGAGAATTGACTTTTTCTTACCTTTTAGCTCCTTGATCAAAAGAAGACCTGGAGTCATAGAAGTAGGTAGGTCAAATACCGAAGGAAGTTGGAGGTGCTTAAAACTTCCTGATATGGCTTAAGCCCTCTGACCCGTACTGATGGGTCCCCATGGCATGGGACCATCTGTACATAATTAGCAAATTATTTGAAAACTTAGAAACTTAAAGTCACACAAATCTGTTGTGTCACATTTTATGGGTCAGAAATCCTAGTGCCTCTGGCCCAGGCACCTTTTGAGGTTTCATGAAGTCTAGCCAAAGGCCAAGAATGCAGAAATTCCCTGGAGCTTTGCTCTCAAGCTAATTTACTTGGTTGCTGTCAGGTCTTAGTCCCTGAACAGAGAGAGCTGGGGGAACCAAGATACAAGCTGCTCAGTCTTGAAGGTTCCATATCTGTGTTCTCTCTCTCTCTCTCTCTCTCTCTCTCTCTCTCTCTCTCTCTTTCTCTCTCTCTTTCTCCCTCCCTCCATCTCTCTCTCTCTCTGTGTCTCTCTCTCTCTCCCTCTCCCTCCCCCTCTCCCTCTCCCTTTCTCTCTATCTCTCTATGTGTCTCTCTCTCCCTCTCTCTCTCCCTCTCTCTCTGTGCGTGTCTCTCTCTCCCCCTCTCCCTCTCCCTCCCTCTCTCTCTCTTTCTCTCTGTGTCTCTCTCTTCCTCTCCCTCTCCCCCTCTCTGTATTTTTCTAGGGATGGAACTCAGGGTCTTGTTGCATGCTAGGCAGGTGCTCTACCACTGAGCTACATAACAGCCCAGAGTATCCCATTAGTTTGACTGTATTCATGTTAGAAGTGTGAGTCATTAGGCCCAGCCACTCCTAAGGTGTGAGCTCTTAAAACTAGTGCCATGGGATTATCTCTAAAGGCTGCTCACCTCAGACTGTCCTGACCTCAGTTGCTCGCTTCCCTCCCCTATAAGTTGCGCTCACCCCTTGTTGCTCCCCATTCTCATCCAACAGCATCAGTGAGAAGTTCAGGCTGTCCTCTTCTGAATCAGACTTCCCAGTTACAGCTCTTGATGTTTCTCAGTCTGATGACCTCTGAAACAGACAGGTGATCTCTCTCACATTCAGCAACCTATTCCATAGCAGCACCAGGATAGGGTAACTACCAAAGACTCTTCTGTCCAGAAAAGGGCCTGTAGGAAGTACAGAGGAGCTGCAGGTTCAGAAGCATTCTGAAACTCAGCTGGATGAGCATTGGCAGTATAGACTTACTTATTATAGCCTAGGTATCTGTCTGTTGGGCTTTTAGATCTGCTCTCTGGGGCTCCTTTCTCTTTCTGTGAGCAATAGTGCATATTTACAGCTAGACATTTTCAGCCTGTTCCTGTCAGTAAGGTTTGGGAATCCAAAGACCTATTTTTTTCAAAA